AAAATGCACAGCTCAAAGATGAAAATTCAAAGGCATAGTCTTATAGGGGTCATATACTGTAACAACAGTTAAGAAAGTTGTGAGTCAGCTGTACAACTCAAAACCAGAGAAGTTACATTTTCAAAATGAGCTCATAGTTACAAATTTTTGATCATATTTCAAAATAAAATCCTAAGTCTCTGAAGGTGGATTTGGGGAAGGGTTCTGTAGTTCAGAAGTTGAAGTTTTGGCAACATGAGCAGATTAGGAGCCTGGGAGCTCGACAGAAAAAATAGCTAGAAAATTTGAAACCTCCATTGGAGAAGGGGATGGAACCTCGGTAGTCATTGTAGTTCCTGAAGCAGGTAGAGAAAAAGGAATCTTAGGAGTCGTTCAGGCAGGAATCTAGACCTCCACTAGAGATGAGGTCAGGGCTAGTGCCTCAGAGATGAGGTCGACTGAGAAGGAAGCAACCTTAGGGCAGGAGGGGGAACATTGTTGAGATCAGAGTCGACCGCCTTGTCCTCAGCAGGGGGATCGAAATTGAAATCCAGTTTAGGGTAGATCTCTTCAGCCCTATCCTGAAAAGTAAGCCACCTAGAGGCCCACCGAGTTGTGACATCATCAGCCAGTTTGGCAATTAAGCAATCTTTTTCCTTGAGTTCATTCCGGAGGACGTCACTCGTCTCCGTAATAATGTCATATTCTCTCTTTATAGTTTGGAAGGAACTTGAAGCTTCGAGAGACTCCCGACTGGTTCTGAGCCAATTATCTGTTTTCTGCTTAAGTTCCCCTGACGTTTTCCTGAGCTCTTCTTTTATTTTCTTAAGTTCCTCTTTGCAGCTCTTTCCCTCATGTGCATTCTTCTCCCTCACCTCTTCCAAACTCCTATTTAAGGAGGTCTATTTCTCCACCTGCTCCTGGGCCTTGAGGTCACTATTCTCAAAGGACAGCTCGGCAACCTTGAGTTCAAAAGCCTTGGAAGCTTTAATTGAACCTTCCATGGCTTGGATCCTCTTCAGCAGCCTGCTAACATGGAGGGCAATCTGAAAGTGAGAAAAGGTCAGATAAGAAGGAGCAAAATGAACAAAACATGTATGCACGAAAAACAAAAAACTTACGGAGGTAGAAGCAAAAAGAGCTGTAGATATAGAGTTCCTAAGAGGCATGGTGGAAGCTCGTTGGATATTAGATTCGGGGAGAATGAAAGCANAAAGTAGAAGTAAAAAGAGTTGTAGATATAGAGCTCCTAAGAGACATGGTGGAAGCTCGTTGGATATTAGATTCGGGGAGAATGGAAGCAATGACCTCTGCAGCTCTTTTCACGTTATTAATCAAAGAACCCGAACTTGCTTCTGCATTCCCCTCTTTTTCATGCTTACGTATCCCAAGAGCCTTCTGAGGAGGCCCAACAGCTGGGCAAGAAGGGATGGCTCCAGGCAAGAGGGGAGAAACCGTCTCCAAAGATTTCTCGATCTCACCTGTAGAGGGAAGGGTGGAGACCAAGCTTAGGTTAGGAACCTTACCAGAGGAGGGCAGTCCCGTCTTTTGAAGAAAGGAGCTTCTTGCAACCTCCGGAATGCCAAAAGAGGATTAGGGATCCATTTGAGTTACAGAGGACGATTCCAATCACAGAGCTTTGACTTCGACAGTTGGATTATCCCCTGGGCTGACCTCAATCTTATGTTTGCTTTCAGCTCAAGTCCTCCTCATCATAGATAATTTATTAGATCGATCCTTTGTAGTATGCTCCATTAAGGAAGAACCTGAAAAATCGAGAAAGAACTGTTAAAAAAAAAAAGAGGAGAAGGAGAAGATGTAAAAGGCAGGGGTAGAGGTGAAAGGGATAATACCTGCCAATTCCTCATCATTAATGCCAGAAAGAGGGGACGAATTTTCTACCCTCATTTCAAGAGGACTAAACCTAAGCCTTACAAGGACTTGAGGTCGGATTAGCTCTGAATACCTCTCCGATTTGCAGTTCACCAAGTTCCTTAAGACCTATTTGTCTGCGGCATTAAGGTCTGGCCGGATGCCTAAGAAACGAAACCAGCCATACAAGGTCAGCCTAAGGGAAGCTAGAACTTATTCCAACTTGCATAAAAAGAAGCTCACCCAAGTTGTCAAGGGCAGACCACCTCCGAGGGACGGAAAGAGTGTCCGTCACGTCGGCAGGATTGAACTCTCATTCCTTCCCCCACACGAAAAAGAATAATTTTTTCCATCGCTTTTGGGAGATTGGGAGATCAAAGATAAGAACCTTGGTTTTCACTGGTTTGGAGATGTACAAAAATCCATCAGTGGGGAGATATTTGACATTGAAGAATTTCATGAGCAAAGACACGCTGGGAACACCCAGATCATGTTTCTTAAAGAAGACAAGAAGACCAACCAGCACCCCCTAAAAGTTAGGAGAAAGCTGGGCAAGACAGACATTGAAATGTTGCGAAATATTTTTAATGAAAGGATGCAGAGGAAAGCGGAGGCCATTCTCAAAAGCAGCCAGGAAGAAGCATACCTTTTTAGGGATAGAGGAATCGTATAAGGTAAACGTATCCAGACTCCAGAACTGTAGGCCTTGAGGAAACCCAAAGCGGGTAGCCATCACCTTTATGTAATAAGGTACAATGTCACTACACCCCACGAGCTCGGAGGCCCTGGGGGTAGCAATACCACCCTCAACATTGCTTGAAATTCCCACGCCATTTACTTTGGTTTTACCTTTACTTAGAGATTTCAGGGTAAGAGGAGGCTCCTCAATGCCTCCCTCAACATTGACAGAGTCCACTCCAGAAAAATCATCTATCTCTAACCCCACATCCCCCAGGTCGGAATCTTCCTCAACGAACCCATCTTTCATTAGCGAAACGGACGATCCCGTAGCATCAGAGGAAGCAGACATAACTGGACAAGAATAAGGAAGCTTAAAAGACCTATAAAGAGGGGGGACCTCGGAGAAACACTCTTTGAGAGCCCAAGGAGCAAGACATCGAAAACCAATGACGAAAATCCTAACTGTGGAGTAAGGGTCCAAGAAGAAAGGAAGACGAGACAAGTGGATACTTCGGCTCCTGGCGTAGCAGAATCGAAAGACCCAAAAATGCCAAAATCACTTCAGGCTTGAGGGATCCAGGGCAAGGAGCTGGAAAAGAAAGGGAAAACGTATCTAACCGCGAATTGGTGGCAGATAAAAGCTCGAGGAGGGGATTCGATACCAAATCAAGCTAAGCCTCAAAGTCGAAATTGGGGTAACCGTCCCTCAGAGAAAACCCTAAATTAGTGGCAGAATGGGGAAGATGAAGTCGTGAAAGGATAAGGAAGCCAAGAAGAATCTGTAAAGTGAGGAGCAAATCGGTGATCCAAGGGTATTTAGAGCTAAAGGTCCCTTGGGCCTCGAAATGGGTAACGTGCGCAAGGAACGAGGAAGGAAATAATTACTGACAACCGCTTTAAAAATAAAAAATAATAATAATAATAAATATATATATTCCTGCGTAAACTGATTGGGAAGCCCTTACTGTTACATCCTAAGTTCAGCCCTTGCCCAAGCTAGCTCGGCTAAGAGCTGGGGGGCAACTGGTGATACTCAGAATGATTCCCAAGTTGGAGCTCGAGAACGGAGGTCAGGTAAGTTGAGCTTAGAAGGTCAGAGCTATTCAGAGCTCAGAAAATTAGAGCTAGAGCTCCCCTCAAAGCGAGATAATAAGCTGAAGCAAGGATGTAACAACTGGATACTACAAAGAACTCGAAAGACAGTTTGAAATAACACTCGAGGCACAAAATCCTCAAACAACCAAGATATTCTCCTAAGACTAAGGAGAATTCCTCGGATAGATGGCAAGGATCACGTATCGGATCCCATAGATTAAGGGATACCCCTATAAATACTATGTAACGCCCCCAACAGAGGGGCAAGAACCCTAGTATCACATTGTACATTCTGTAACCCTTTTTGATATAGTGAATAGTGAAGGAATGAACAAGAATATCCATTGAAGAGTGGATTAACCGAGCTTTTGAGCCGGTGAATCACTATATTTCTACTGTGTTAATTTCCCAACTCCCCAATAATTCTCAGTATCACTCCATCGAGCCTAATAGCTCAAATCCTAATAATTCCAAGATTATTTCTTTCATTTACTCGTCATCACAAAATTACATCAGGTTGAAATACACCATCAAATACTACGGAGGCCAACAAGGACTTTTTGTCCATGCAAAAGAAGTGGGGTCGGGATTGGGCCCAAACGAATAAAGTAAATTTCATTTGAATATTTATTAATTTATACGAAAAAAGAATGAATAGTTATTTGTTTGTATAGACGGGTACTTAATGGTTTGTTTGAAGTTCACTTATTTATTATTTGTATATTATTAATTGATGATATCACATGATAATATTAATATGATATCACCATTATAATGAATATTTTATCCTCGAGGCGGGAGTGGTTGGGAGAGGAGGGAGAAATCTCTTGGCAAACCTTTATGTTTTTTTCCAGGCCAATTGTGACAGCCTCATATTTATGTTTTTATATATTTATCAGTAGTTCTCATCCTATTTCTCTCCGCTATCCAAATTATTGAAGGAAAAATTTTACTTTGATCCTCTTAACTATAGACTCGATTTTACTTTACTTCTTGAACTATTAAATTTTTTGTATGACACCTCGAATAATTGAATTGTTTTAGACTATCGCAAACTCCAAATGTTTTCTATATTTTTGGACGAAATCACCATTGTATAATTTGGGGGAAAATTGAAATAACTTGTCATTGATTTTTTTTTATTATTGGTAACGTCAAACTAATCACATATTTGAGGACGTAATGTGAAAAATATGATAGTTAAAGGATAATATAGAAATAAATCATAGTTGAGGGGGTCAAACTGTAATTTTTCCATCATTAAACCATCTGTGACAAACGTTGTCGATCAACATTATTTACCTCAAACCCCTCACAGGTGTGTGTGTGTTTGTGAAAACATTTTTGAGAATCCTTATGCTCTGCGCATAGAAATGGATGATCAGAAGTACACAAAACCCTACAAAGCTCATGTTCTGGTCCTTCCCTACCCTGCCCAAGGCCACATAAACCCCATGCTTCAATTCTGCAAGCGTTTGGTCACCAGAGATATCAAAGCCACATTTGCGAACAGTGTCTTTATCTCTAAATCCATGCATGCCCATCCCGGAACCTCAATCACCTTCGAGACTATCTCCGACGGCTACGACGACGGTGGCTATGAACAAGCTGGGAGCGCCGAGGCATACCTGGAAATGTTCCGAATCGCCGGGTCAGAAACTTTGGCAGATCTGATCAAGAAACTTGATGCTTCAGGCCACCCTGTGGATGCCCTTATCTATGATGGGTTCTTACCTTGGGCACTTGATGTTGCTAAGCAGTTTGGGATTGTGGGAGTTGTTTTTTTCACTCAGTCTTGTGCTGTGAATAGTATATATTATCATGTGCATAAGGGCCTTCTTCCACTTCCTCTTTCTGGTAAAAATGTTTCACTCCCCGGATTGCCATTTCTGGAAAATTGGGAGACACCATCCTTTGTATATATTTATGGGTCATACCCGGGTTTCTATGACATGGTTGTCAATCAGTTCTCTAACATTGATGGAGCAGATTGGGTTCTTTTCAACACTTTCTATGAATTGGAGCAAGAGGTATGTGGTCTTTTGCTATATATGCTTGCAATAATTCTTGAGATTTTTTTTTCTTTTTTTGAGTTAGGGCCATTTAAAGATTCAACCTGTTCGAGCTTGCGTTTGACTTGATTTTGCCTTTCAAATTACAAAATAGATTGAATTTGATTAGATTTTTAAGTTCATTTTGTAAACTCGTCAAATTCAAATAATATCTGACTTGCCTCGAATAGACTCCACTTGACTCAAATTTGCTTCTGTTTATAAATAGTTTTGATTTAATTATAAAACAACCACTATCCGAAAGATGAACCCCAAACTAATCCTAGAATAGGTCTAGATTGTATACACTTCTAGTAGGTTTTTTATGAAATTTGAACTTTAGGATTTGGTTACACATGGTTGATTGTAGAAATTTGAAAGATTTTCATTAANAAAATTTGATAGTTAAAGGAGTTGAGATTTATATGCTTAAAAAAAATAAATATACAAAAATAGAGTTGTATGATTTATCATTTCTATAAGTCTTTACTGTTAATTACATGTTTTGGGCATTATGCACTAATTAAAAAAATAATAATAATTTATTTTGGGTCCTAATAATAAATATTATTGATAAACATATAATTAATGTGACGATGGAAATGATAAGATTGAAAAAAAAAATACTCCACTATATTCTATGGAGTTTTGTTTCCAACGGGGCATTGCGTGCCGGCCACACTAATCAATACAAGAGGGACCCTTTTGAAAACTAAGCAGCCTTTAATGTTAATTTGACTCAAAATTCAAACCACAAATTTTGAAGTGGAGAAGGAATAAACAACGTAGAGCAATTCTAACCCATATCTCTATTTTAACTATTTAAAATATATTTAAATATTATATTCTCTATTTTAGAAAATCACTTTTACAAGTTTATTTCGCTCACACTCTCTATTTTAACTAACAACTTCACCTAATTTTAAGTAACTTCTAATAATTTAAAAAAAATTACAACATATATATAGAGATAAAAGATAAAAAGACATAGAAAGAGAATTTAGCAAAATCGAACAGCTCTTCACATTTGAAGAGCCATTTAGGTGAAATAAGAAGTAAGTAGTAGGCTAGAGAGTTATTTTAGTGTTTAATTAATTAAAATAACTAAAAAAGAGAAAATAAAAAATGGGTTGAAGTTGCTCTTAAAAACTTGACCCAATCATTATTTTCGCAATATAGCTTAACTTTATCTCTTTCTCTCTCTCTTCCCCCTTTTTTTTTTTATTAGCATTAACGTCTAGGTGTCCAAATCAATTTTCTTTTTTTATGGTCAGACTATCCAGTATCCGATAGTCACAACAAACTCTAACTAATCCGAATTCGAGCCAGATAGGACCGCAAGAGTGGCAAAACTCTCCCTAACAAACGTAGCTGTATTTTCAAATCTCGAACTGAGAACCTTAGTTAAGCTAAAATAACCCCTCATCAGTTAATCTACGCGGTTGGTGGTTCCAAATCAATTTTCACGGAAGTGGATTAAGTCCTTCCCGGTCCAATTACAAGGAGAATTATGTCAAGAGTGGCAAAACTCTCCCTAACAAACGTAGCTGTATTCTCAAATCTCGAACTGAGAACCTTAGTTAAGCTAAAATAATCCCTCATCAGTTAATCTACGCGGTCGGTGGTTCCAAATCAATTTTCACGGAAGTGGATTAAGTCCTTCCCGGTCCAATTACAAGGAGAATTATGTCATAATCTTCGGTCAAACAAATGTTTTTAAAAGAAGCTTCCGATTGTAAATGTGGTTAAAGTTAAACAATGTTGGCTCTTTGTTTTTTGATCAAAGCACACAAGGAATCCACACATGGATGAGTTTAAAACATTATAAGAGTTTGAAGTTTTTTTCACGTTGTTTTGCTTAACCCCACCTCACCACCCAAAACAAAAAAAAAAGAAAAAGAAGAGCTTTCGTGGCTGACCAAACACAAACGTATACTTGAAAACCCCGTCTCTTAATATTTATATATCCGTGATCTTTTTGGGACTAGGGATGGTATTTGTCTAAAGCCAAAAGCCGGGGCACTAATTTTTCACCTGACCTATTAACACCACATGGATCCGACGAGAAATTTTATAGATTAAGATCGATAAATTTGATACAAACTTGAAAGTAACACAATATAAATAATAAATAGATTAGTCTGGTGTTAAACATGATCCATTGGATATGACAAATCCGTTAAAACATGCCTTGTCTAAGAAATATACCTGTTTTTTTTTCTTTTTTATGTTCAAGTATTTTATTAATCCTTGTAGAATTAGATTTTTCATTTGGGTAAAAATATAAAAAACTCCATGTACTAAGCCTCTATCTCATTTCACCCTTTCTATTTTTATAGGGTTCATTTAACCCCCTCTAACTTTTAAACAAACTGCAAATTTAAAGAATCTATTTATTATAATGGCGCGGTAATTGCACACGCTAATTAAGCGCGTGTTATAAAATAAATAATTTCTATCCTAAATTAAAAATTAAATTATTAATTTTATCCTTCATCTTCCTCTCTCTCCAGACTTGTAAATTCGCTTTTTGACCCATTAAACAATTTGCTTTCACAAATTTAAAGTTATTTTTGAATTCTTTGACCCCAAATTAGCTAGACCCAACCCCAATTTTGAAGTTTTAACAAGCTTTTCAAAGTTTTAATTTTCAAGTTTCCAAACCCTAATGCGTTTCTTCACTACACACACATACACGCGGGCATCAACAATGGCTTCCAAGCACTCCAATACATTGTACTACAACCCCATAACAATCTTAAGCCTCAATTGAGGAAGAAAAGATTGTTTCCTCTGTAATCTATTTGAAAATCTAATTATCACTTTAAACTTCAAATACAAATTCGAGCGTACACATAACACGAAACTTAAATCTAATCACGCCAATGAAATCTTCATGGAAAATAAGTCTGACCAGGTCGTTTGCTAATTGCAGGTTTTTTTTTTAAAGGTAAGTATTCTACAATAATGACATAAAAAAAAATTAAATTGCAATCAGAGAGTAGTTTAATCTTTTTGTATAAACTGTTACCTTTGTTAACATTTGTAGTTTGTTCATAAGTTGGAGAGATTAAGTGAAACTCATAAAAATATAGGGGATGAAGTGCAATTGAGATTTAATTCAGGATTTTTTTTTTAAAGAAAAATTATAAAAAGGTACACAAAATTAGACTTAATTATCAAAAAGTACAGAACTCTTAATGTTATGTCATTAAGTCCTTATTTTTAAAACTTAATTGTGTCAAAATATATAATTTAACTTTTTAGTGTATATATATACATACACTTATCATTACTCATACTTGAAGGCATTATACAACAAACAAACAAATAAATTGCAAACAATTGTTTAAATTAAAAAAGAATGACCTAAAGATATTCATACAATTTTTTTTAAAATGACTCGAAATATATTGTCAACTATATCTTTTATATTAATGGAATTGTCATAAAAATATATAAAAATTTCCCAAAACAGTATCATATATACAAATGTCTCGGGAAAAAAAATAACTAACATAATTTATTGAAATTTACAATCATTAATAAATAAATAAAATCTTGCTCATTTATAAGACTCACAAATTTATCACATCAACTATCACTCAATCCAATAATACAATCTATATAATAAAGTAGAACGAAGTTTGAATCCAAAAGACAAAGAGAGGTCCAGATCGTTTTGAGTCAAAACATAAATACATTCACGGACAATGTAATCTCAACATAAAAGATGGTTCAGATCATTTTAAAAATTATGATCTAACAGTCTACAGTGAGTATTGAATTTTATTTTCCCGCTCATGAAAAAACCTTTGATCGCAAGACTCTACACTCCTATCTCATATACGTCTCTCTCTCGCTCTCATACGGACTCTCTCTCATGCCCCTCTCTCTCACTTCTACCTCTCTCTCACTCTCTCATCATCTTTATTATCCCAAAGACAACCCCAATTGTCGAAACCCAGCGATCACCAGTAACTCCACCAGCCATTCACCGGAGTACCACCCCTCTACTAACCAGCGCCTTAGCCCCCTTTCCTCATCTGCCCCCAACTGCAAACAACCAACACCCACTCACTAGGTATGTTTCTTGCCTTCTGCTATCTCTCCACCTCTTTCTGCTCCTATAACACCCACACCCACCAGCAACACTGCTAGGTATCTCCTTCTTACTGTCTCATTCTCTTTCCTATTTCTCTTTGTCTCTCCTTCCCCTTTCTCTCATTCGGCAACCAGTGATGCATGATATTTGATATTGATTTGCTCTTAATCGTAATGCACGTGAAGTATTTGTTGAAATGTCTATGACAAATATTGTATACNCTTCCCCTTTCTCTCATTCGGCAACCAGTGATGCATGATATTTGATATTGATTTGCTCTTAATCGTAATGCACGTGAAGTATTTGTTGAAATGTCTATGACAAATATTGTATACTCTTTTATTTGATATGAATTTTTGTGGGTATAATTAATTTAATTTATGTTCCTCTTTGATGGGTTTTGTTTGATTTTGGCAATTATTTTGATGGCATTCATTAGATTCTTTTCACTGAGTTTTGATTAATTTTTGCACTTTGTAGGATTTCAAGTTTGTCACTGATGGTATAGTTTTGGTTAGCGCAAATCTTGACATCTTCGCGTGTATAAAACATGACGGTGATCCACTTGGCGTGCATAAAGGAAGTGAATAGATCGACGTCGGTGGCATTTGTGACGAACGTGCCCTTCCTCGCTACGGGTACAATGGCGGGGGCGATGGACGTGCACTTCAGTTCTTCAGTGAATCTTGACATCTTCAAACTTGATTTCACCTCCGTTGAGCATCAGCTGCCTTTGGCCGGTTCAGAGCCCAGTTTTGAGAGTTTCAATCGACTGTCTTAGGGGAAATATCTAACAAATTCGAAGGAGTTCTCTCTAGGAGAACAAGTTTCTAAACANATTGAGCATCAGCTGCCTTTGGCCGGTTCGGAGCCC